ATATGACCGGAACCACAAGGGACCCCCAGAATAACATCAAAGGAACACCAAAGGAGTCTCAAAGGAGTCCCAAAAGAATCACAATGGAAACGGCAAGGAATCTCAAAAGAAGCCAATCAAACGGCAAGGAATCTCAAAAGAAGCCAATCGGAGTATCAAAGGAATCTCTGAGGAATCTCATAGAAACGCACGGAATCACAGGAAGCGACTCTGGGCAGGTGTGCCTTGTCGCTGGGCTCTGGACTACAAGGGGACCGGGCATTCAGAGGCTTGTGGAAGCCTTTCTGGATGCCTCCTGGGAACCTCCGGGGACCTCCCCTCCGCGAACCTCTGGTGACCTGCGGGGGATATCGCTTCCGCCCCGGCCCCGGTGCCGGAAACGTTATAATTTCCTCTGATGAAGGGGGGGGGAGGGGGGTTTAATGATTGCTTCCCAAGGTAAACCTCCCGTTAGTAAACCTCCCCCGAGTGAAAACGGCCTAGGGCCGAAACCGACAGGCCTGGACCTGCAAAAATGACGGCCGCGAGGCCCTCCTGCGAACCGAAAGCGGACAATTCCTCAATCGGCGTGTCAGGGTAGGAGGTCTATCCACCCCCGACTCCACGGGCACCAGCGTCGGCGGCGTGCATCCACCGAGGGAGGCAGATCCCGATCTCGGTGGTGGTGGCAATAGAGTCAGGCTTCCAGGGTGGCCGAGATATTGCCACCAACGCCGCAATACAGGACCATCGTCCCCCTGTGGAGGCAATCCCCTGTGTTGGTGTTGCTGCCCATTTCCAGGCCTCCAATGCTTCTCTCGGCATGCCTCGCATAGTCCCCGAACGGCTGCGCCGCAATCTCGGCGGCGCTCACAGGGGGTTAGGGGGAAGGGGGGCATGCTTCTCAGAAGCAGGCTGCTTCTCAGAAGGCGCTGGCCTGACAGCCACAGACAAGGCCCGCGCCTTCTGAGAAGCAGGGGTGCTTCTGAGAAGCCTTCCCCCCTCCCCCTACCCCCCTCTGATGGTGGCTGACTGCTTTTGGAGGCCTGGAAAAAGGGCACCAACACTGACACAGAGGGCTGCCTCCACAGGGGGAGATGATCCTAGACTTCGGTGCTGGCAGCAATACTCTTCCCCTCGGTGGAGGCACGCCGCCGATGTTGGTGTTGGTGTTATGTCGGGCCTGTCCCCCTACAGGGGGATTTTCGACGAAAAATTAAAACTCCCCAGAAGTAGTCAAACAAATGCCACCCAAATAGTCTGGGGACTATTTTTGGAATATTTGTAGACCTTTTTGGGGTATTTTCTATGTCTCGTCGAAAACCCACCTGTGGGGGGACAGGCCCGACTCAACCCGAGTAAAACAGGGCTAGGATCGGGATAAATCGCTCCAGAGCGGAGCGCTCTCAGAGCGTTCCGGAACGCTCTGGAGCGGCCGCGGCGCCCAATACATTCTCCAAACCCGCCGATTCTCAGAGGTTTCGAGTTCTCCCGATCCGATTTTGTCTCGACCTTCGCGTCGTTTTACCGAGGCCTGCGGCACTTCTCTCGGCGTGCCTCGCTGAAGGGGCCCTGGGACACACAAATAAATACACACAAATAAACATATCCCCCATATTTTCCCATATTTTCTGGGTTTTTGTCTTCCCGCCCAATTCCCATATTTTCCCATATTTTCTGGGAATCGACGAATACTTGTGTCTGTGCGGCTGCGCCGCACTTGTTTCTGTGCGGCTGCGCCGCAGGAATCGACGAATATATGTTTTTTCCCCTCCTGACTCGCGCGGTGCCCGGGCGGCTGCGCCGCACTCGCCGGCGATCGCCCAGCACTCCTCGGGGCGGGCCGGCTCCTCGGGCCCAGAGCCCCGACGTAATGATTTTTTCATTACGTCGACCCCCAGAGGTCCCGACCCTTTCCCTATGACCGGCTTTGCATCCTGAGTCGTTTTCTGACGCTCCCGAGGCCCGGTGAGGGCCCCCGGAGGCCGAAAATTAGGAAAAACCTCCCGTCGTGATTTTTTCACTACTCGAGGGGGTCTGGGGGGCGCGGGCCCCAACGCGCCAGGCGAGGGGCTGCCCGTGCCGGGCGGCGGGCCCCCGGAGGCCCCCGGGGAGCCAGGAGGGGCCCACAGGGGCCGAGGGCGGGGGGTGAGATGAGCAGGTCCTGGAGCTTCCCCCCCTGCTGAGCACGAGGGAGGAGGAGGGAGGAGGAGGAGGAGGAGGAGGAGGAGTAGGGGAGGAGGCGGAGGAGGAGGAGGAGGAGGAGGAGGAGGAGGAGGGGAAGGAGGAGGATGAGGAGGAGAGGGGGAGGAGGAGGAGTGAGGAGGCTGGTGGGGGAGGAGGAGGAGGAGGAGGAGGAGGAGGAGGAGGAGGAGGGAGGAGGAGGGGGAGGAGGAGGAGGAGGAGGAGGGAGGAGGAGGAGGAGGAGGAGGAGGAGGCGGAGGAGGGGGACGGAGGAGGAGGAGGAGGAGGAGGAGGAGGTGGAGGGGGCAAAACGTTTTGGTGAACACGTCGTGCGCGAGGGGTGAATCCCAGCTTCTCAATCCGAAAGAAATGGCCCCCTGGCCCATGCACCCCCTCGGCAAGGCCAGGGGGGATGCGGGCCCCACCAAGGAGGGGGATGGATCGGAAACGGCCGCTCCCGCCAAAGAGACGGAACGTAACCTCAGCAGAACAGAGGCCGACACACGGGCCGAGCCTGGAAGCCGCTTCGGGGCGCCCCGCAAAGGAAGGGAAGAGGCCCTTGCAGATCCGGCTCGAATCCTCGAGGCCAGGCGCTCATGAACCGGCGCCCAGCGGTGGTGGAACCGAGGCCGTCCCTTTGCCAGAAGTACATTATGCGCAGGCCCCAAAACGCCAAGGCATGGGAACGAGGGTCCCTCACTTCAGGCTTTGAAGGGATCGGCCAGCGCTGCGCCAACCAGGGCACGGCGGGCCCTGCGACGGACTAGCGCAGAGCGCCTCAGTAATGAATGCGGGGCTAAGCTTGAACGGACAGACCCCGCGAGCGCTCAGCAGCCTCTGAAACGGTTTGGTCAGCCATATCCCAGGCGCAAACTTCTGATGCCCGGGCAACTCTGCACCGTCCACAGCAGCACGTCACGCCGCTCAGTCGAATATTATCAAGCCAAACTCTCGAGCGCGAAACGCCGTCCGAATACGGAATAGTGCATCTCCATTCCGATTTCCCCGACGTGCTCGCCCGCCCCCGGTCCCGCGCCAGCAGCAGCGGACAAGGGTTTGTGACGTGACGCACTGGGCCAGTGGCGCCTTCCAGGCACAACGCGAAGGGCAGGGGTTCGGACCTGGCCGTCGAGACTTTGCCAGCTGCAGCTCCCGAGGCGCCGCCGACCGTCTCCCACTCGGGACGCCCCAGCGATCGATCCTCCCGATGGCCGCGGGCGCCGCGCCGCAGCGTCGACGCCGGGGGGTCGGCGGGGAACCGCCCGCCAGAACTTTCCCTGGGGGCCGCTCGAGGATCCTATCCCTCAAGGGCCGAGGGCGCCACAAGCGAGGAGGCCGCCGGCTGCAGTCTCTTCGCGGCCGGCGCAAACTCTCAGTCCGAGGCGCCCTGGGTGCTCAAACACGAAATATTGCGTTTCTAGTCATGGGCTCTCACTGCGCAAACATCAAGATGTTCATTGCGCGGGCGCTCCCAGAGGCTGCGTCGCAGGGTATCGAACTCCCTGCGGCATCGTGGGCGCAACAGTTGACCAGCCGCGCCCTTTGGGAACTGCTGAATTCTCGACCGCTGCGCCCCCGTCGCCGCGCAACGTCTGGCCCGAGTCAACCCAGTCAACCCAGTCAAAGTCGCCACCGTTGACCGAATCGTCGACGGCCTCGCGTTGGCCAGCCTTCTGCCTCTGCCAGCACCACCTGTAGAAATCATCCACCAGGCAATCTGGGATGTCGCTCGCGTCGTCCATCTCGTCTCCAGAGATGCCTTCCATCGGAGAAGCAGGAACTCGCCGCTCCACCCAGCGGCCGCTATCCATCCTCTGCCGGCGCGTCGCCGCTGGGGCCCTCCATCCCGCGCCCGGACGAGTCGCGGTTGTAGCTGGGGCTGGGCCGCGTGCGACGCGCCGGCGGTGAGAAGGCCCACCGGCCTCGAGACGTCGAAAACCTTTTGGCCACGCCGCCCGATCCGTTCACGATGGCCCAGGGAGACGCCGCGCCGTCAGATACTCAGCAGTAAGCCGGCGAGGCAGTTCCAAAGCAGGGCCCATGCGTCCGCGCAGGGCCTCCAAGCTACTGGCGCTGCAGCGCACGTGGAGCAGACGCGCCCCTGCGCTGGCAGCGCGACAGTCAAGTTGAAGTAAGCGATGAAGAGAATGAGCGCTGGATTTGGTGACCGCCGAAGCTTGCGGTAGAGCGTCTGTGCGCCACAAGCGTTGGCTGAATGTCCTCCACTTCGCGCTCTCGTGCGCGCGGCGGCGACGCGCTGCCTACCCGCTGCCGCGCGCCGCCCCCCTTATTGAACGCCAAGTCCCGGGGGGTCCCGAGCGCGCCCCCACCCCCCCCCGGCGGGGCCCCGCGGAGCTGGCGCGCCAAAAAGTGGCGGCGTGCCCGCGCTGAACCCGGCCCCCTGAGAAACGCGTCGCTGCGGCTCGGGGCGCCCTGGCGGTCGCGTGACGCGCGGCCTTCGCGAGTGAACCTCCGACGAGTAGACAAATCCAGGGATCCGCCCTCGCCCCGGGCCCCCAGCTCGCTCAGCTGCGCGCTGAAATCGCCCGCGCTCTGCCGCGAGCTGCTCGGCCTCGGCCCCGCCGGTGGCCAGCGCGGCGGCGGCGCCGGAGCGGGCCTCCAGGCTGGGGCCGCGAGCGAGCCTGGCCGTCGCCGTGGCCCGAAGAAGCCGTCGCCCCCTTCCGACCCTCTGCGCCGCTCGGCCAGCGCGCGCTGCGCCCTCTCCTGGGGGGCCTCGGCGCGTGGAGCAAGGATGCGCTGACGCGTCGGCTCCGGCGCCTTGAAGACCTGTCTGCGCGGCGTTGGCCGTCCGACCTTCGACGCGCCCCCGCGCTCACCTCTCCGCGTCGTGGAGCCCGAGGCCCCCGAGGTCACAAGGGGGCCCTTCGACGACGGCGAGCTCCTGGCCCTCGCTGCCCTCGAGGAGGGCCGAGAGGTTGATGGCCGACGCGTGGGGAGATGGCGTCGCTGACGTGGGTGCCGTCGAGCCCGCGTGCGCGGCGCACGCCGTTCTCCACTCCTGGCTGGCGGTGCAAGCCTCCTCCGGCGCCTTGCGCTCGGCCTCGCGGGCGTCCGCAAGCCACTCCTCGGGTTCCAAGACTCTGCGAGCGTGCGCATTCACCTCTGCCTCATGGAGCGGGTTCTGTGGGGGAGGGGCGGGCGCCTCAACGTCGGCCTGGGCCGCGGCCTCGACCGGCGCGAGGAGGTGCTCCTGGTTCGTGCCGAGCTTGGCTCGCGAGAGATCCGCGGTGTCGACGTCAGCGATGCCTTGGGAATGCCTGCCGGTGCGCGTGTGGCAACAGCAACGATCAGGCGGGCCGCTTCTGCCTTGGACTTGGGCACTGGATGGCGACCTGAGCTCTTCGTGCCGTCGCCTCTGGCAATGCCTTTGCCCGCGACCTTGCTGGCATCCGTGCCCGCGTCGGCGAAGAGCAGCAGGGACCGAAGTAGCGCTGGAGGCCGAACCCACTGGGCAGCTGGCTTCCGAAACACATCGGGCTTCGGTACCAAAGCCTGGGTACACTGTTAGCACCAACATCTGGAGTTGAAGCTCCAGCGTTACCTGCACGCGCCGCACTGAGCGCACTCTTGCGCTTGCCTGTGCCTTTGCCACCAAGCCGAAGACCTGCTCTTCCAACCGCCGCGATAATCCCACTGCGCAGTGGTGGTGCCGTGGCGTCACGAAAATAGCTCAATGGGGGGCAGCGCCAAACTGCACTGCCCAAGTCAAAAGCGTTTGTGGACACGGCGGAATACCCACGGTGAGGAAACAGGGCGAACTGTCCTTCGGGAGAACGTAAGCTGGCTGCGGATCAAGGGTGCCAGCCTCTTGCCCACCTTGATCCAACATGTGTACGAAAGAATGGGGGGGAGGAGGGGGAGGAGGAGGACTAGGAGGAGGAGGAGGGAACAGGAGAAGGAAGGGGACATAGAAAGAAGAAGAGGAGGATGACTGAGGGAGGGGCGAGGAGGAAGAGGCAGGAAAGTGAGGGTGAGGATGATGAGGAGAAGGGAGGAAGAGAGGAGGAAACAGGAGGAATGGGGAGGAGGAGGAACAGGAAGGAGAAGGTGGAGGAAGGAGGAGAAGGGAGGAGAGAGGAGGGAGGAACGAGGAAGAGGTGGAGGAGGAACCAGGGGGAAAAGGAGAACAATGGAACAGGCGGAAGCTGCCTGAGGCGGCCATTCGTCGCGAAGGCGGCGTGCGTCACCTGCCTCGGCGGCGTCCCGCGGGGGCGTGGTGGCCGAGCTGCAGGATGGCCTCGGCGGGAAAGGGGGGCTCCTGTTGTGACAGGCGTGTGCGTGCGTGTGTGTGGTAGGGGGGGTGGGGGGGAGGGGGGCGGGTAGGGTGCCTTGACGGTACTCTGGGGTCCGGGGAGGTGGGGAGGCCCAGGGCTGGTGCCCGCGTACATATGTATGTATGTATGTTTGTATGGATATATGTATGTATGAATGTATGGATGTATATATGCATGTGTGTGCATCCATATAGACATACAGACTTCGTCACGTACGTATGTACGTGTGTACGTATTATATATATGCACATACATGCAAATATACATCCATACATCCATACATCCATCCATGCATATATGCATGCACACATACACACATACATACATCCATCTATCCATACGTACATACATACGTACATACATACACACATACATACACACCACTGTGTAGACATTTGTATACCCATATGTATACAAATGTCTATCTAAGCACTCGTACGGACCCGTGAGTGTATCCTCTGAGCTGCGTGAGTCGAGCTGTGCCGACGCGCGCCGTTGTTTCTGGGGGAGGAGCTCCAAGGCCCCTCAAGAGGCTCCCAGGAAGCCCCAAGAGGGCCTCGCGAGGCATCCTCCTCCTCCTCCTCCTCCTCCGCATCATATCCTCATACCATCATTATCACCATCACCATCACCATGACCATCATCATCACCACCACCACCATCATCATCATCATCATCATCATCATCATCATCATCATCATCGTCATCATCATTATCAAATGCATCAAATTCATCATCATCAGCATCACCATCACAATCGACATCACCATCACCATCACCATCATCAGCATCATCACCATCATCATCAAACTCATCTAAAACATCATCATCATCATCATCATGATGATGATCATCATCATCATCATCATCATCATCAGCAGCATCATCATCATCCTTGTTCTCCTTCTCCTCATCATTTCTCTTCCTCTCCCACGTGTTCCTCAATGGATGCCACCACGGCTGGGGGCGCACATAGCCAAACGGCGTGGCCAGACTTCGGTTTAAAAGTTTGGCAGCATGGGCGTTTGCAGAAGGGAGGGGGAGGCGGTGATTCGCCGTAGGCGTCTTCGATCCGCCGCCCCCTGTGGGCTTGCCACAGGGGTGCACAGTGTGCAGAATTTCAGGATGATTCGGTCCTCCCAAAAGGTTCCAACTGGGCACCGGCCTGACGCGCCAGCGTGTGTAAACCGACTGAGTGAGCATCTGCACAACGCCCGCCTCCAAGACGGCCAACATTACCCAAGATGGCCTCCAAGTTCACCCAAGACGGCGAAGATGGCCCCAGTCTAGAGCCAACTATAGCCCCAATATTTGTAAAAGACGGCCAAACATACCCCTAAGATGGCCCAAGATGGTCTCAAGATGGCCAAAGAGGCCCAAAGAGGGCTGTAAGATTTGTGCGTTCTCGCCTTTTCGGGCTTCCGACGCTCCAAGACGGCCCACCAGGCCCCAACAGTTGCCCCAAGAGGCCCCCAAGAAGCCCGCGACGGCCCAAGAAGGCCCCAAGCCGGCCCAAGACGCCCCCAAGACGGCCCGACGGACTTCCAAGACGGCCCCAAATCGCCCGAAGTGGGACTCACGTCTGCCCTGAGAGGGGCCCAATACGGCCTCCAAACGCCAAGAGAGCCCTTAGAGGCTCCCAAGAGGTCCTCGAAGGCCCCAAGAAGCCCCAAGCGGCCCCCAGTAGGCCGCCAAGAGGCCCCTCAGACGCCCCCAAGAGGTTCACAGGAAGCCCCCAGGAGGCCCCCAGGAGGGCCTCAAGAGGCCTCCTCTTCTTCTTCCTCATCCTTCTCCTCCTCATCCTCCTTCTCCTCCCTCTCCTCCTCTTGTCTATTCCTCTCCCAGGTTTTCCCCCGATGGGTTCCACAACGGCTGGGGGAAAACACTGGACTTTCTGCCCTTCGATTGGCTGCATGGGCAGTGGTGCACGGTGTGCCAAACTTCAGGGTGGTTTGGCCCTTCCCAGAAGCTCCACTTTGGGCATCGGCCTGACGCGCCAACATGTCCAAAACGACCGAACGTCTGCACAACGCCCGCCTCCAAGACGTCCAACCAACTATATAGCCTCCAAGTTCGCCCAAGAAGGCGAGGATGGCCCTAATAGAAAGTCAGCGAGAGAGTGAGAAGTAGTAGAGAGAGAGAGAGAGAGAAAGAAAACAAAACAACGAGACAAACATAACAACAAAAACATGCATATTGAAACCGCGCGCGCTTCGCGCGCACTCCAGTTCTAGCCAGGCATCAGGCATCGGCATAAAGTTGCTGAAACGAAGGGGGTGGAGGGTGCAGGAGGAATGAAGACATAAAAGAAATTTAGAGGCCGGGAGCGGGAGGGGCTACATCAGGCTGCAGCGAAAGCCGACTCGACATCCAGGCCAGAACGGCCCTCAGCAAGCCACTCACTTCAGAAATGAACACGGGCCACACCAGGTTACAACGAAGGCAGAATCGCCCTCCAGACCAGCATGGTCCTCAGCAAGCCACACACACACACTTCAGGAATGAATCAGGGCCCCGCCAGGTTACAACGAAGGTCAGGCCGCTCGCCAGGCTACGTTTGCGGGGCTGCTCCGGGCTACAACGAAGGCCACCCTCCCACTGGGCCACACATGCGGGGCTGCGGCTGCAAAGAAGGCCAGGCCGCCCTCCAGGTCACGTCGACTTTGCAAAAGCGTCTCTCGCGAAACTGCCGCTTCGGACATTGCCGTCGTGTTCAGCATTTGCTGGGTAGTCGAAGCCAATCTGGCGCCAGTCCTCACGCTCGAAGCGTGTGCCACAGAAACGGTTTCAGGAGGCGCGGTCGGGGGTTCGCGTTCTCTCGGAACGCGACGGCTCACAGTGTCTACGGAGGTATGTGCGGCAAGAACCCTTGGTGCAAGAAACCTGGATGCAGGCGTTTCGTCGACCCCTGGGCTGTGCAGGTTGGTCCGGGGAGTCCACGGGCCTGTCGGGGATTCCGCTCCACCAGGAGACTGCAATCAACATTCGCAGCAAGCTGCGCCGCGTATTGCGCCAAGCACCCCGCGGGCGACCAGATCGTGCATTGTCCGTTTGGGCCCGCCAGGCACACAGTGAAAATCAAATCGTATGATGCTGTAGTAGTTGCACCATCGATTGCGCCACGTGTTGCACCATATGCTGCACTAGACACTCCGCGTGCAACCAACTCGTCCGATGCCTCATGAATCATGCCATACGTGGTCCGCACCGAACCCCGATGGGCAACCAACTCGCTTGAATGCTTTAAGGGCGTGCCATTCCTGCAGGCACCCAATTCGTCAGACTCCTTAAGTGGGTGCGCTGTGGGTTGCGCCAGACCCCGAGCGGGCAACGATCGGGTGTGCCGCAGGTTGCGCCATGCCCCCCCGCAGAAAAACGAGGCCGACCGACGCTTCAAAAGGTGCGCCATGAATCAATTGCCTCACCCGTCGCGCCACACACCACGCAGGCAACCAGCACATCAGATGTCTCAGAAGGACTTCTCGCACGGCGCGTCGGAGCCCTCGCTCTGCCTGGTCCCCGTTTAGAGCTGCCTCCTTTTGCCGTCCTCCTCGTTGTCGTCGTGGTCGTCGTCCTCCTCGATGGCTAAAGTGGCGGTTCGGGTGCCGCCCCGTTACTTTTTGTTGCGTCGGCGGCTGGGCAGAGGGTGACTGCTCCGGCGATCGGGCATCAGGGGGTCGCACGAAATGCAAACTCGGCCGCGGTGCACACAGGCGGGGGAGCCCCTGGCGCGACGGGGAGAGGGGAAGCCGGGCCCGCCCAGGCAGGTCACCGGCTGCGGTGGGAGGAGCGCCCTGGCCATCGCTCCGACGTCCAGTCCCTGTGTTTCTGTTCGGCTTCGTGCGCGGTTTTTTTCGCAAGATGATCAGGGATGCTCCTCGATGGTCCTCGCCGAAGGAAGAATGCACACGTCCGAGCGATGCCGCGGGAACCAGCCGCGGCGCCGGGCAGCAGCTGTGGGGGACGTCGGCCCAGGCGGGGGATGCCGCCCCGTTAGACATGCCCACCTGCGGGAAAGAGCCATATCCGTATCCAGTGCGTCTTGCACTTCCTTGGAAGGGGCGCCACGAGGCCGAGGCGCACTGGATATGGATAAACATCGAGCCTCAGGGGGTAACTAAATTTATCCATGTCCAGTGCGCCTCGGGTTTCTGTGG